TTCGTTTAGCAACTATTTGAATGCTTCTCTGTGTTTTCTATGATTCCGATATTCCATATTCTATGCCGACTTTTTCCCTGTCCTCCAGGAGGGATATCAGCCAACTAAATTGCGAGGGATTTAGGTTAGTACTGGTTTCACTGGTTTTGAGATTACTGCATGTAAGGTGATTTGGAAAGAAGCACTTGAAGATGTCATAGGTATTTTGAGTTTGACAACGCTTTAACCAGTAACACACACTATGAATCGTACCCACCAAGTGAAATCAAAAGATAGAAGCGAGGAGGTTCGAAGATAAATATATATCGGAAATCGACTGATCTAGACTGCCTAGTGATTGCAGGAGATGTTGGGCACGGCGTTCCCACTCGTAATCTGGTGCGGTTGCATGACCGAGCGCCCTCAGCTAAATGAGTCCATTAAAACTAATGTGGTTAGCACCCATTGTCGAAGACTTACAGAACTATTTATTTTGGGGTTTTGTTAACCGCTCAGATCACTTCACCCTTTAGTGGGGTAGTGTTGACCCTAAGACGTAGCCAGCCAGAAGTTTAAACTTAACGAGTTTGTCGTCAATAAACACTCTTCTGATAGCTTGCTATGTTTGGCAGTGTCTGGTCATTTTTCCTTACTATAAGAGACTATGAAGTACAATATAGTAATAAAGAAACAAGGTACGATAGAAATTTCGGATTATTGTAAACTTCGTCATTCTTTTTTCGTCTTTTCCAGCCGTCCTGGAAAACAAAAAAGGATGTGTAAGTGCATGTCGAATTACACTCGTACGCACGTAAACACAAAGCGGGCGAAAAAGAGAAAATGAACTCATACACATGCGATAGCGTAAAAACGATTTTTACAGAATGGTTTTTGTTCTTTGTTTTTTCCAAAAAGTTTTAACATATATATATTAACAAAGGAACTTTTTTTGAATAAATATGTAAATATAAGCATATTAAAATTATATATAATACAGAGAAAAATCTAGATGAAACAAAATGTTAACTAGTGACTTGCGTAAAATAATCGCTTATGTGTTCCGGAAACCATACCATAAACGAGTTGGGCTGTAGTGTATCGAATATGTGGTTGCATGAGCACCTAGATGACAAAGTTTGTGTAACGTATTGAAGATGGTTTCCTTAACTGTTCCCATCTATTTGATGCGTAGTTTTAAGGTTGTTGAAGGTAACTCGTGATGAAGATCAGTGTCTTCTTTTTGAAGCTGGGCGAGTTTAAGAAGGTCGATGCCATGGAAACTGTTCAAGAAATTTATACGGGACAAAACATCTGCGACTACATTGTTTGTTCCAGATATGTCTAGTGTATCTGAAGTAAACTGCGAAATGAAGTCCAGTTGACGAGACTCTCGAGAGGAGTACTTGTCTGAAGACGAGCTTAAAGAGAAAGTAAGAGGTTTATGATCAATAGAAACAGTGAATTCTCAGACTTCAACAGGGTGTTAAAAATGCTGTACGGCACAGTACATAGCTAGGAGGTCCTTATCGAAGTTGCCACACCTCGACTGAGTGTCTAGCAACTGTCTCGAGAAGAATGCCAAAGGTTTCCGGGTGTGGTTTATCCATTGTTGTAAGACTTCTTCGATTACTGAGTCGTATGTGTCTACCGCGATATTAATGGGTGCTTGAGTATCGTAATATGCAAGCATGGTTGCTTTTGCGATAAGTTCCTTAGCTCTGGAGAATGCTTTTCGCACGGTATCATCTGAATCGATGGATTTCGTATTTCCACGAAGTTGGTCGGTTAGAGGTTTCATAAATGACACACAGTTCGGTATGAACCGTCTGTAGAAACTTACAAAGCTGTTAAATGTGCGTAACTGCTTAGTGGTGGTCGGTTCTGGGTAATCCAGAATGGCCCCGCTTTTCTTCTCAGAGGTCTGATGCATTGCACATCAACAGTGTGTCCTAGGAAACGTAAAAAGTCAGTTCTTGTTTGGTATTTCTGAATGGTTACAGTTATTTAATGCTTTCGCAGGCGTTCGAAAACAAGGTCCGGATACTGGAGATGGGATTCTCTGCCCGGACTTGTTATCAAGCAATCATCAACATACTTACTTAATTACGCCTGTTACGTCTCGTGAAGGAGCGCAGGCCGCTCACCAGCATTCTCCATTCAACCCTGTCCTGGGCAATCCTTTCCAGCTCTTTCCAGTTGTTATTCATCCTTTTCATATCCGCTTCTATTTCTCTACGTAATGTGTTCTTTGGCCTTCCTCTTTTCTGCTTCCCTTCAGGATTCCAAGTTGGCGCTTGTCTCGTGATGCAGTTTGGTGATTTGCGCAATGTGTATCCTATCCATTTCCATCGTCTTTTCCTAATTTCCTCTTCAGCTGGAAGCTAGTTTGTTCTCTCCCACAAAAGCCTGTAGCTGATGGTATCCGGCCAATGGATGTTGAGTATCTTGCGTAGACAGGTATTGATAAATCATCAACATACGCATGTACGAAATTGAGATCGCGATAAACGTCATCAATGATACTTTAGAATGTCTCAGCAGCATTTCGTAAGCCGAAAGGCATGCCCGAAAATTCGTGAAGACCTAAAGGAGTTATGATTGCGGTTTTCGGAATGTCATCAGTGGCCATAAGAATTTGGTTATAGGCTTTAACCACGTCGATTTTTGAAAAGACAGTTGTACCTTTCAAGGTAGCTGTCAAACCGTGAATGTGGGACAATGAGTAACGATCGGAAATGGCTTTCGCATTGAATCGCCGATAATCACCAGTTGGACTCTGGTCATCGCTGTTCTTTTTAGGGACCATGTACAAGAGAGATGACCATAGGCTGTATGACGGTCGAATGATTCCTAACTCTATCATGTGATCAAATTCGTTTTTTGCCAACCTCAGCTTTTCGTGGGCCAGTCGGCGCGCTTACGAGAATACAGGTGGTCCTGTAGTCATGATGTGATTCTTAACATCGCTAGTTACACACGGCAATTTCAGTTGCGGTTGATATATCCAGAACACCTAACGAGGAATTGTTGATATAATGAATCTATCGTGTGACTAACTGTGACAGGAAATAATCTGCAGCCGGAAAATGAATGTATACAAACAGATAAATTAGTGTTTTTGCCTGATAGCCTTCGTTTACACGTATCGATTAGGGGATCGTGGTGTTGTAGCAGGTCTATAACAATGATTGGCATAGAAACACCTGCAACAACAAAAATTCAGTGAATGGGTTCGCGTAAATCAACGTTAAGGTAAACGTACCTTTTACTATATGTAGCGATTGGCTATCCGTTTGCCACCTGTAGGTTTAAAGCTGATTCGTGAAGCTGATCGTTAGAATTTGCTGGAAGAACGCTAACTTCTGGCTAGTATCGACAAGGTAACGAACTTTCGTTATCACATCTGTGACGTATAACAGACGGCTGCTTTCGCCGGCTACAGTTGCCGTTAATACCGACTGGGAAGTTCCTCGAATTGTTTTTTGCTTCAGTCGATTCTGAGTTTGGAAAACTGCATGGTTTTCTGCAATTTCTAGATTTTCCGTGCTGGTTACGATGCCAGCACCAGTCGGTGTTACCCGTCTCTCATGGTCTAGAGACAGATCGCTTACGTGAGATGGTTCTTCGCGGGGTATGTGACCGTTTACGGTCATCTAAGATAACGTGTAAGCGTATGACATAATTCCGTAATGTCATTCTGTGCGCTTGAGGCTTTTCTTTGACTGAAAAAACCTCGACGTTAGAAAATTTGGTGATTTCTAAGATGCGGTCAGCAGATGCCGCCAGCCCGTCTACGATGTTGTTTTGAAACGAGACCAGCACAGCATGCACCTGTTGAGGAAGTTTAGATAAAAAAGTTGTCTGAATAGGCAATCATCGAAAGCTGTTTGGCCAATCACCCCTCTCATTCTCAGTAACATGTCTGTCTCAGAACCGTGTTACAGGTCGATATTATCAAGGAGTTGGTTTAACCTTTGTCGATCGGTTAGATCTCCGCGTTTAAGGATAGATCGTTTAATTGTTTCTTAGGGTTTCGAAACATTACTAGTAAATATACTGGGTGTTACGTACCTGTTAAATTCGCGCAGTAGTGCCTTGACTTCTTCGAGGAATTGTGCACATGTGTCGTCCAGGCCGTGCTAGTGGAAGTCGGCACCTGCGTAGCAGAACCAGGCTTCGATGTTGTCTGGTCAGAAGGGCATTAGTTGAAGTGAAGGTGGGGACATAGTCTTTAGCTTAAATACTTTAGGGGTCTGTTCCTTTACGACAAATAGAAATGAACGAGGAAAAAAGTATCCAAAAACTCGAAAAAATCACAAAATAAAAAGTTAAAATAAAGCAGTGATTTATGATATTCCAAAAGGGAACACACTTACAGTTTGTAAGTTAGTGTACCGGACCACGTCGGGCTCACCAATGAAGAGGCCACAGGTATTTGGAGTTTGACAACGCTTTAACCAGTAACACACACTATGAATCGTACCCACCAAGTGAAATCAAAAGATAGAAGCGAGGAGGTTCGAAGATAAATATATATCGGAAATCGACTGATCTAGACTGCCTAGTGATTGCAGGAGATGTTGGGTACGGCGTTCCCACTCGTAATCTGGTGCGGTTGCATGACCGAGCGCCCTCAGCTAAATGAGTCCATTAAAACTAATGTGGTTAGCATCCATTGTCGAAGACTTGCAGAACTATTTATTTTGGGGATTTTTTTACCACTACACCGTGTTAAGTTAAGAGTATATTAAACTGGTTCAAAAGGTCAGGTTTCTGTACTGAAAGCAAATGTTTGAATAATTAATTTTATCTACCTAGCTATGGTTCAAATTATTAAGTAAGAGATATGAAGTTTATAGTGAAGTTTCTTCTCTTTTTCCACACAATATTGTCACAGAAATAGTTGAACTGTGCTTACTGTCGATCCATTCGATAATGTTCTCAATTGTTATGTTTCACACTTCAAGGCCATCCGGGCCTTTGGCGTAATTCGTTAGTGGTCGACAGTTTCTTATGACTGAGTACAAGTTAGTTGTTGTTGGAGGTAAGCTTTGTTATCTACACATGAATACCTATTCGTCTAGCTGGTGGAGTTGGCAAAAGTGCTCTTACTATCCAGCTTATTCAGAATCAGTAAGCTCTTAATATTTTTAATAACTGTACCATAGTTTTGTTGAGGAATATGACCCGACGATAGGTATAGCCAATACAAGACCAGGCATTTAAACCTTTTGTAGAGGACTCTTATAGAAAACAGATGGTCATTGATGGAGAAATATGCTTGTTAGATATCTTAGATACTGCTGGGCAAGAGGAATACAGGTAATTCAAAATACAAATTTATTCTTCAAAACAGTGCAATGCGCGATCAGTATATGCGTACTGGGGAGGGATTTTTATGCGTGTTTGCTGTGAACAACTCCAAGAGCTACGATGATATAAATCAGTATCGAGAGCAGATCAAAAGAGTCAAAGATGCCGACGAAGTTCCTATGGTTCGTAAGTTAAAAATTTTTTCCCCATTCGATTTGTAGTTGTTGGAAACAAAGTTGATCTCACGAATCGCAGTGTTTGTACAGAGGAGGCAAAATCTTTAGCCCACTCTTATAATATCCCGTATGTTGAGACCTCCGCCAAGACCAGACAAGGTGTGGAAGATGCGTTCCATAAACTTGTCCGGGAGATCAGGAAATCTGTAAGTGATTTAAAAATAGTTAGGCCTACCATTTATATCACAACCTTGGGTCGTTTTTACGGACACTTATTTTTTTAGTTGAGTTTCGGAGTTGCATTTTTATCGGTTAAAGCTGTAATTAAATTCTGTCTCTACGCTTCGAGATGAGTAGATTGGTAAAGTTGTTTACCTTTCTACCCAAACCAGTTAAAAGTCCTTGCACCTAGCGCCTAATTATTACAGTTTCAAATCTTAATAGATTAAAAAATGGCTCAAACTAATATTCTGGAAGCTATTGACTAACTGATTTAATTGCTTAATAATATCGTGATTAGGAAAAGAAAACCAAGTAGCGTGACGTAGTTGTCCATTGCTCTCTGTATTTTTAAAGTTAAAGATGTCCATATATGGCCTTATTTTATCTCCCAATCTATTTTTATTCCTGTCGGTTTCTATTATCGTTCAAACGATATTAGAACTTGGTTGGAATTCCTAGCACTTGTTATAATCAAGTTCTGATAAGTCGAATTAGTCTTGCAAGTGATAATAAGCAACGAGAAATATTTACAACAAATATAAGAAAGGATTGGTTTCGACTGATATCTTGATGTTATTGTCTCTGTCCTGTCTCAAGATCATTAATTCATAGAATCAGAATTATAACCGGACAAATTTTTACGTTTTCATGTCTCAAATTATCAGTTGATTTCATGGATCAATATCAATTTTTTTGTCGAACAATTAAAGGAATAAACAACAAGTGTATATTATTCATAGTAGTCCATTTTCTACCTTATTACAAACCAGTTAGGAGTCTTCTGATAAAATATTGTACCCAATATTTCATGAGACGCTTATTTCCTGATCGACAAAGTGGCCGTTTAAATGATACCGTTAGTTTTCGGGCGAATAGACCGTTGTTTGATGGTAAAGATCATACTTTGTGTTTAGGAGTTTGATTTTATGAAGTCATGAATCTAGGTCTCAGGTTTACCTTTACCGATTCGGAGTCTTTGTAACCACTTCAAGCATTTAATTGGTGATATGTTTGGATCCCAGATGTTTTAGTTCATAGTGCTAACTGATGTATTTTTAACTGGGTAAAAGTGCACAAGTTTTTACAGTATGGCTTTAGTGATCATAGATAAGTAGTGAGTCTCGAGACACCATTGTTACTTCCCGTGGCCTCACTAGTGTAGGTATAGGATTAAAGTAGCAAAGCAGGCCGTCAGACTGGATCCCAATAAACAGTCACTTGTGTGCCGTCTGACTAAACGGTACATTGATAACTTTGTCTAGCCCCCGCTGACTGCAGCTCGGATGAATTTCGCGGGAAGCTATTCAACCTTCAAAAAGCTCAAGGCTCTGAAGTGGCAATAGTGGAAGGTGATTTCAATGCTGAAGTAAGTAGAATAAACTGAATCAAAGGATATTTAAGGGGATTGTACTGTGTCGTGGCTCAGCGAACAAATGATGGCGACCGTCTGCTGCAACTATTCTATTTTCTAGCAAGCTTAAGGGGGAATATCGTCTAACGTGGCGTCTCCCACAATGGACTCAAATAAACCACATTCACATGAACCATTGTCGGAGAGACACGATAAAAAACTCGCTAATTCTGAAGCACACTTTTTGATTCAGACCATACTTTAATTCAAGCACGTATTTTTCTGCATCTAACGACGTAGAAAAGCCACAACCAAAGAACCTCCTCAAATTCAAATTAGTGAAAATCTTGGGAATATATTCCGGACACTATTAGGGAAGGAGTTAGTCATCCATAGAAGTGGTATCCACCCTGAATTTCAGCGGAGTCTACAGAACCAATAGGTGCTCGGACACTCAGACTGGCTTCCAGCACGATGAGGAGCGAAGGCAGCTTAAATGTATGCTGATAAGAAGCTTACATAATGATCGTAAGTAATGGTGGATAACGAAAGCAGAAGAGATGGAAAAGGCCACAAAAACGGGTAACAGCAGACAACTGTTCAAACTTATCAAGGAAACGGGTATTAAAAAACCGACTATTAGTTTATTATTTATTTTTATTTATTTGAACACAAATAGTGGTACAAGAGGCACCAAATATATATGCGCCACACCATGTTTTTGTGTGTGGACTGAAATACTGCCCGGGTGCCCAGACCGAAGCAGGTGGTTTTCTTAGGGACCACACCCCGAGCCTTTGACCTAAAGGTTTGACCAACAAGGCAGTGAAGCATCGTAAGGAGATGCAGTCCCATGGAAGCTGGTGACCAAGAAATTGGTTCATACGCCATTTGTTCCTTCAGGATACTGGGGTCCATGTGCACCATTGATTTGGGATCCGGTTAAAGCGCCGGACATTCGCTTTTCGTCCTCTCATTTTCGTAAACAATAGTAATGCCACGAGGATGCAGTGAGTAGGACTTCCCTGACTGTTCAAACTTATCAAGGAAACGGGTATTAAAAATCCGACTGTTAGTGAAAAAGACCGGAGTATTATTCACTTTCAGTGCAGGAGATTAAAACGGTATGTAGACTTTTTGGGAACAGTTCACCTGGCCTTCAGCCACACATCAGTTACCCACTGTCTCCAAGCAAACTGAATGATGGATTAGTGTAAGTCCGCCAACTCTTACTAAGACTGAAAAGTTATAAGTAATCTAAAGCCAAGCAGAACAACGGAGACTAATGGACTACTGAGATTTTTAAGGATGGTGGTCCGGTTTTGGCGGTTAGATATATTAAAATCTTAGCTAAAATCTGAAAACTGTATATAGTCCCATCTGACTGATCTCAATCGCTGATCGTCCTAGTCTATACGAAAAAAAGGAAATCACAGGAACCAGTCTTACTAAACTAGTGTCTAAAATATTTACCTCAACAATACTTTGACGTCTAACTAGAGTTTGTGAAGAGCAAACTCAAGAAAATCATGCTGGTTTCAGAACTGGATGTAGGTGTATAAGCCAAACATTCACACTGCAGCGGGTTCTGGAACAGACATAATTTTCGACGTCCGACTACAGTTGTATTCCTTAACCTTAAGGTGTTGCCCAACTCCGTTGATCGTGAGGTTTTCTGGCAATGTATCATTGAAAAGCTTACCAAATAAATACATTAGTCAGTCAGCTACAACGTAGAACCAGGTATATATGTGCATCGGTCCAAGTTTCCATACCTCATTAGCACAACAAGATGAACACCGGATTCATAGTAGTTAATTCAGTGGTGGTAATATATATATATATATATATATATATATATATATATATATATATATATAAACTTCGTATAAACTCTCTACGCGAACACTACTTGTCGAATCAGAGTTTATGGTCGACTGCCATCCAAGTTGATTACTTTAATTGGTGTTCGTCAGGGTTGTCCGTTCTCATTTTTTTCATTCATATTTGTCCTAGATATGGTTTTAGAGATAGGATTTTCATCGTCTGACTTTCCAAGGGTTGATCTACCAAAAGATTCGCTTGCTGACTTAGAATACACAGATGACATAGTTCCATTTGGCGAAGACGCTGACAAAACACAGTCTTTTGACCACCTTAAGCAACAATCCAAAAATTTTTGGGATGGTGTTCTCTTCGTCCAAATGCAAGGTGCTGCTTCAGGATTGACTTACATCAGCTCATTAATTAATTATAAGGGGTGAAATAGTTAAACTCGTCAACCGCTTCACTTAGGAGTCGCGTCAGTTCCGATACTCTTTTGTCTGACGAAATCTCGGTACGGATTCAAAAGGCTCGATTGACTTCTTCCAACTTGCGTCACTTGTGGTGTAGGCGAGATATCCTTCTATCAACCAAAGGACGAGTTTACTGCTCAGCAGTTTGCATTGTTCTACTTTATGGATGTGAAAAATGACTATTAAGGGTAGAAGATATTCTTAGGTCTTGGAAGCATCGCTCGTATATTTTAGGATCACGAAGTAAGTGATGCTTTGGCTAGGAGTAGAGTACTAGGTAAGGATGAGAAACACGATGTTGTGGTAGTAAATCTTCAATAACTAAGATGGTTGAGGTATGCGTTACACTCATCCAACCACTACCTACTTCGATGAGTGGTGTTTTCTGGTATTGAAGTAGACTAGACGAAAGCTAGGAGTGACTAAACTAACATATGGCATCAATCCATTAAGTCGCTGATAGTTGAGCTTGGCCATGTTAATATGTTTAGACCACTTAGTTAGGGTTCACGCAGATGCCGCAACCAATGGATGGAGACTATGAATAACATTTCTCAAAATCGTTTGCAATGGCACAGGTGCATCTGTTCCCTGTTTTCTCCAAAATTTTGAGATTCTACATTCATGACTTTTTTTGCTTGTCTTCTCGAATGGTATCTTCAATGCCTGATCTTTCCTACTACAACTGAATGTTACTAACCTTACTATTCTAGGATTTAACTTGACGATTTTATCTCTGCTAATGGGGAATGGCAACTTGAACCGATGTACATACGTATCAGGTTCTGTGTTGTGACTGAGGTTCTGCAGAGCTGTTAAGTGGTGTTAGCTATCATTTGAGAGCTAGATGTAAGTATAACTGTTGGGTATCGATAGACGAGGATCTTATTTCGTAAAAATGTAAAATTGGTTTTACAATCACTAGAACAAAAATAGTTCAACTAATATAGTTATTTAAGTTTTATCTCCTTTAATAACCCAATGTCTGGTTAGGACTACACTAACAGACATACGAATGTGTTAAATAAAACTAGTAAGGCATCCATATAACATGTTCCTAATACAGTTGGTAACACTACATAACAGCCGATTTACCACCATTGCCTAGTACCCTACATCTAACCTCAGCATTGTTCACTTGGTTGCTCTATCATACATGAACAATAATTCGAGAATACTTGTGACTAAATACTGGTGAACTTCACATATCTTGTACTTTTAAAGGCTACGTTTCAAAGCCATGAGAAGAAACAGTGGACTGATGCTCAATACCTCACCCTTCAAACAGTGGGTGTCTCACGCCGCTGCCGGAACCAAAACGAACTTCCTTAATCAGTGCCAAGATTTCGTGAAACGCCAATCCACTGGGTCTAGTAAAACTTCCAAGATTAGCGAAGTGGTTAACGCATTCAACCACTTCAGTATAATTTATCTAGGCGTAGAACCAGATCAATCCCGTTTATCGTTCTCAATCATCTCTGACTCAACGAACAATGATCAAGCAATGAGTCATCACAACTCACATACTTCTATACACCTATCAATGGTACCCACAAGATTTCCCGAGTTTTATAGTCAAGTGTCCTTTAGGGTCGAGAAATACAGTTATAGTTAAGTGTTGGTAAGCATGTATGCTGCAGAACGTGGTGAAGAGTGGATATTTACTCTATACACTACATCTAGGTTTATAAACCGACTTGGTCTTTTTCTTCTAAGGGCCCTAGTCAAGTGTTGGATGATCATGAAGCATGGTATTTTTAGACTAGTCACAAAAGGTTTTTCTATCCTTTTTCTATAAATTGAGGTGGTCAAGACCAGTGTTGTAAGACTACTACGCCCAGCCCTCAGATTTCAGTTGACGAATCAGTTAAGCTAACTGTTAAAACTTGACCACCATCCCTAGAGATTTCCGAAATATAGCCGTCTTGTCTTGCTGCTCTTCATCGCCTCAGATTAGCTTTAGTCTCTTTACCGTTTGGTGAAGTTCACTCAAATCGCATTGCTCCGTTCACAGCTCTCTGAATATCACCCGAAGCAACATCAGGGTGAGCATCACTTAATGATCGACAAAGGGCTTCTCTGGTTGTTCCTGACATACACGCTTAACGTTTTCATTTTTAAGCTGAATTTTAGGATATATTCCAGTTGTGACCTTCATGTTTCCAGTAAAGAATCGGGTAAACGCGTGCTGGCACTGGAGCATGATCAGTCAAAATATCAGCTCCGAAATGCATAGCTGTCTTTGAGCACCCTCTACGATAGCTGATGACAGTATGATCTATGTGTATCATTGAGTCGATATCTCAGAGTGTTCATGTACAAATATCATCTAGTGCTTAAAGTTAGTGCTTGGTCAGAATAACAGTTAGAGCGTAGTTGTAGCAGACAGTCACTGTTATCTGTTCAATGAGTTTAGGGACCAGAAAACTCACCTAAGGATCTTCCAGCTTGCATTAGCTTACCTACATAGGTGTTTTCTTTATGTGCTGCTCGGTTTCTTTTTTGCTTTCTAGAATATTCACTAGCCTTATGAACGGTCGACCCAAATTGTTTTTGTCGGTTTCTCATCGGTTGGTTTTATGTAATTCATATGTATGTCTTCTCTCTCTCTCTGTATTAACAGAGGGAGCATGATAAAGCTATTTGAGAACCTCAGATAATTGATATGAACGTTTTAGACCGCAAGTAGCTGGAGAAAACTCATCAAAATAGATAAGTGCATATTAATGCTCTACAGTTTCTGTTTTTATTTTCTTAAAAATTACCTAGAGACGTGACCATGATGCAGTGAAATACTAGTTTTTGAAGGCTTAGTTAAAAGTACATGAAATCGGAGCTGCTAGTAACTTTTTTTACTCGTATTCCTTGGAAGAAATTTCTCGTACTAAACACTACTGTTTATCATTTTCATGATCTTTTTCTCTAAAATCATAGTTTTCGATATTCACTAATTTACACGGCTTTTGAAAATATTTTGTAGAAAGAGAAGAAAGGGAAAGATCGTAAAAAGCGCAAACGAAAATGTTGTATACAATAAATTAACCACTATGTTATTTTGGGCACCAGTGGGCTTTATTTAAAAACTGGAATTTAATTTCAAAGCGTTTGAATGATGATTATAATAGCTATATTCGTGGACTGGCCTTCGTCAGTATCCGGTCTTCACAAACTTTTTATCTGATTTAGCATAATTCCACATCTGCTCTAGCAGTTTTACTAAAAAGTTACTTTAAATAATTGTTTTGTTCGTACGTACATACACAAACATACAAATGTTTTAAAACTTAACTTGTTTGGACTTTTGTATGAATTCTGTTTTCCTTTCGATATATATATATATATATATATATATATAACAATGCGATTTTAGATATCATTCTAGGTATGCTTTCTGCAACTTTTCTACTTTTTTTTCAAATGAATCGCGTTCTGTACATGTATTCATCGCGCGACTAATCATTTTTGTCAGCCTCCTATTTGTTTTGATCCAATTTGCTGTACACAATAAGTAGTAAGAATAACAATGGCATTTTTGCACACATACAAACTTTGTGACTTTATTGTTTCCGTTTACTGGTATTATTTTTATTGACACCGATATTGTTATGATTGCTTAATCTCTGAGTGTACATATATCGATTCTTCCTTTACTTTATTTGTCCTCTTGTTTTATGCAATATATGATTATGGAAAATTGGATATGTTAATTATTTTGAGCTGTGTATTAAAAAATATAAAACTGTTAGTTGACATGTTGAGGTAGATTCAGTCTATCTTATCAAGGTCAGTATCTTTATATTCGTACAAATTATATGAATATCGAGCCTGACAAAACATCAGTTGTATCTTTCTGTTTATCTGTTAATCAGCATTTCCATATTGTTTGTTTCTCAACCTGTCATCCTTAAATCCAAAATCATATATTTTTCCTGAATTGAAAGTTGCACAACTAAATATCAATTTGTCGGTTCGGTATAATAAGTGCTTTTTATTGATTTCATGCACATGCTGATGTATATTGTTAAATATAACAATTACAATTAACTTTAATGAACCTCTGAAGTATTGTTATTTATTTTATGGAATCCACTTTTTTCTAGTCACGAATACTTCGTTTGTTTGGAACAGTAAGTTTTTACCACTAATTAGTTGGCAGTTAGCGCGTCTTAGCTTACCGTAGTATTGCAGCTCGTAGTATGATCAATTCATGTCATAGGTTTGGCTGACATGATTCCAATACCTTATTTTCCTAAGTTCTCTGTAAAAGTCATGTTACTAAAGCATCGGGTCCTTTAGCAAAAGTGTACTATTAGAGGTCTTTACTATTTGATTCCCAGTCATTTTGTTTTGAACTTTATCGTTGAGTAGTAAATGTGGCTGTCTTAAAAAAATTGGCTAGTTTTTAGCGCTTGCTCAAAATCAGTGTGTTCATTTAAATTTGGAATTCGTTGCTACTTTTCTATTAGTGCAACTAGGCAGGTTATCAGTGTTCACCGTACACACTCGCTCAGGTCATATGAACAATAAGAGAACTATTAATAATGTACAAATATAAATAGATGAACAATTTAATTTTATACGAAGCGATATATCTTGAGTTAACTATATTATCTTTCAAAATAAAAAAAAGAACGGGAACAATTGCAACTTCACTTTTGTAGGGAAATAAACATCCTCGGTAAGGATGTTCTTTAGCTAATAGCAGAAGTTAGGTACATTTTGTACCTTTTTTGATCTTCTAGACACCATAATCACATGTCGGTTTGAATTATCGTCTTTGTGTGATTGACACTTAACTCTGTGTCACTCATCTGATGTAAGTTATCCATCTATTGATGAAAGGGTGAGTATACTAAGCAACAGTTTCCTCTATTTCACCTGATGGCTAAAACGTAGCCTTTAAAAGTACAAGATACGAGAAGTTCACTAGTATTTGATCGTAAGTATTCTCGAATTGTTGCTCGTATATGATAAAGCAACTGAGTAAGTAATGTTGAGGTTAGGCGTAGAGTACTAAATAGTGATGGCAAGTGGGTTGGTTTGGTCGTTTTCGTTGGTCAGAGTCTGAGATGTGTTACGAATATCCAGCGTAGGCCTACTTTGATATGCGATCCTGGCTTGAATAGACCAAACAAAGAGATAGCATAAGTCCATGAATTCGTTGATTATTATCTGGAGTTGCTTTCTTAATCGTACGCTACTTGTTTTGGTCGTCAAATACTCTGCTACGTCTGGGGGTAGGGAGAATCCTCTCTAAATCCTTTCATATAGCCACCGCCAGGTCCTACGCAATTCACTCTTGTCGCGTCGGTGTTGGCCCCTTGCTACCATGGGACTGCATCCCCTAACGTTATTCCATTGCCTTGTGTATTAAACTCTTAGGTCGAAAGCTCAAGGGGTGACCCCCTGGGAAGACTATCTGCTTCGGTTTGGGCACATACATTAAATGACGACTACAGCTGTGAAAACTATTCTTCCTTCAATCCTCATTATCACAAATTATACAACTATTCGGCAACATTTGTTTTTGCTTTACATTCCGTCACTTGTCAATTCCTTTTTACTATTTTGTATGTTCCTTTATTTCTCAACTTCTACATCAGCTCCCCTATAGTGGGAACATTGTCCTATGTAAGCGATCCTCAGTTACTAACTGACTGGAAGTTGAATGCTACCACCGAATTCCGAACCAACCTTTCTGGAACCACATTCCTTTCAACCTGGCCTCATCCAACGTCGCACGTTGATGCAGATCGGACAACAGATGGGGTTTACTGTCTTTATAAAATCACAACGTCGATGTCTGTTGTCTGTCCGAGACTTGTATTCAATACTCTAGTAGTGTACTATAGATTCGTCCTTCATCTGTCGCTTGGAAAGGCTTGCTTCACGTGGGTCTATTCGGGGATAATGTATCATTTCCCTCTGGTTTCGCTGGCGTTAGTGTCTCACTAAGCGCTAGAGCCGAGACAGCACTAATCGATTGTATTCCCAATAACAGTCGATCATATATTATTAGATTACAAAGCTCTATCGGAGTGAAAAAAAACTCGGTGTGAGAAACGATGTCTCATCTCTACTTACGCCCCGGCAGATCGCAGCTCGGATGAATCAAGCATGAGCTTTATCACCAATCAAGTGTTCCTTTACAGTGTGCTCGAAAAAAATATTGTAGTGCTGACCGGAGAATTGATTGCATTGGTCAGGCCTCTAGGTACAGAAGAGTTTTTTGGGTGGCTCATGGGGACTTGTTGGTCACAGGTCAGATAACGGTGAATGTTTCCTGCAACTTTTCTCAGACCAAAACCTGTTTCTGGTTGACTATCGGCATAGTTATCGCTGTGTTATCTGGCATCCTACCTCTACACCTCAAAAATGAACTCAAATTGATCACATTGCGACCAGCTTCCGTTAGCGTGGTTGTGTACAAGACTACTTCTTTTTTTGGAGTACTTATCTAGACTCTGATCATGCCATCGTTTATGCTACTCCTATCATATGTTTTAGTGATCAACAAATTCATCACTAAATGAATCGATGTAAGCAAATAGTCTTCATCTTCTGTTGCAACTAGGTAACAAACCGAGTTAGGTTCAAGTCTAGTTACCAACCCACTGAAAAGTATACATTTGGCTGACTCCATGAAATTGGCTATAATCGCTGGTTTTCTATAGGCTCTCTACAAGTCGTTGAAGCACCCCGGTCTTTTCCGGGTAAACATGTGTTTGACGTTAAAAATAGATTCTTATGTTATGAAATTGTGGAGAGTGCGTAAGTACTAAGAAGCCTGATGGTTGGCGTGTGTTAACGATTAGGAGAAAGTGGCTGTATCTGGTAGCTGACGTAAGATTCTTTCGTTCAGCTGAGGCACTGGCAGCAAGACCTCTAGTGTAGACGAATTTGTGAAGGTGTTGGGTCACCAATCAATAACTTCCACTGACGTCCTAGATGACGGTTGAAGTTCTTCGAAAAGCAGTTCAAATAGTCTGCTGCCCCGGTGACACCGATAACTTTGTTTTGCCCTTCCTGACAAGTGTCGACTGATCCACCTAAAGAGGTGGGGGTCTACAAGGAATGCCATCTTCTGACGCGCCATAAATCGCCAAACCGAGATAACTCGCCTCCGTCCCTTTTTAAGGATGATGGCGATCTTCTGGTTATGGAACGGACTGAGTTGTTTGCAAACGTTTAGGGATTTGAGTGTTCCAACATCTTGGAATGAGTTTATTGTAGTCCCCATCTTTATAAATGGTTCATGTTATCTATGCAATAACTGTTGGGGAATAAGGCTTCCGATTGCGTCCGAATCATTGGCTTCCGTCATACTTTCCAGAGTGCTCAAAGCCCGGGAAAAAATGACTCGCTAGGAGCAGGCTGGTTTTCGTTCTGGTAGAGGATGTATTGATCATATCTCCAACCTCCTCTAAATGTTAGAACACCATACTTATTGCAGGCCCCTAAATGCCCTGGTACAGCCGAGAGTGGGGAGAGTCAGCTCTTTACCATGAAATGCTCTCACATGGCCACGTGCATACAACCACTACCAGGGAAGTTCTACTCACTGTTTTCTCGTGGCAGGGGTGTTTCTTACGAAATTGAGAGGACGGAATGCGAATTTCCGGCACTTTGACCGTATTGGTGGACATGATAGATACATATAGGGGAGTTGGTGCACATGGGCCCCAGTATCCTGAAGGAACAAATGAACCAACTATTGGTGACCGGTTACCGTGGGACTACATCTCCTCACGTTGCACCACTGCCTTGTGGATCAGACCTTCAGGTCGAAGGCTCTGGGTGTGGCCCCCTAGGAAGACCACCTGTTTCGGTTTGGACACCCGGACAGTATCGAAGCCCTCACACAAATCGAATGATTTATGTGGCGCATACATAGTTGGTGCCTTCTTGTACTAATGTTTATGTGTTTAAATAAATAATTATTGCATGCCAACAGTCGTTGTATTTTATGACATATCTTCGCTTATATCAATGCATTTGGATAACTGTGGACACCCATTCGAGAAGAAGTTCCACCTAAATCGTGCATCTGAGCTACAAGTCTTGACAAGCTTAAGACGTTATCGTAAATGGTTCAGAATAGAAACCAATCATGGTCCTGGTGTGATTTCCTTTTGCTGTGTTCATTTAAATGAGAGGAACTTCTTTAACTGAAAAAATCATTTCTGGTTTTATTTTTCCTAAATGTATCGCTTCTCTCATCTTAATTTTTCATCACCCGTACACTAATTTTATTCAGTTATTCTTTTTTATTATACTCACTTTCCTCCTTATAGTCTCATTTTGATTATATGGCGCACATATGTTTGGATGCCCCTTTGTACCAGTGTTTTTGTGTTTAACTAAATAACTGATAGGATCCATGAGATAAACATGACCAATATGGTGTCTCTAAAAAGAAGATAAAAGTGTACACATTACTTATCTCTCCCAGAATCTTTAGTCTGAATATAGTTTTGTACATTTTTATCCTTTGGTTTCATTTCTCCTTTTTAAACCATTTACTCTTTATTACTATTACGTATGCTATTTCTATTCCTATGGTATGATCATTTTTGAGTTGTGTTGTGGCAACCCTGGATGATGTACCTTTGTGTTATGTTCTGCGTTAAGTATTAGTGACTAATTGATGTTAGTTAAGTTTTTCGCGCAAGGTTATTAAGTAGTGAAACATTTTTTGACCAGTAAAACGACACAATTGTTTAAGTATGAGTAAACTTTTAATGCTTGTGATTATCTCGTTTGTACAGAAACCATATCCTTTTTCACTCAGACTTACTCCTTTCAGTTTTTATAAAAGTTGGATAGAGTAGAATAAAAAATAGAAACTGACTTGGAATGCGACAACTTATTGTACACGCCTTTTGGGACCTGTCTGTTTGTATATGGTTACAATTGAGTTTCTTAGTACATATAAAAGTTATGATTATTTACTTCTAAACAAGTGCTGGACTAAATAATAAAAAATCTTGAGGTTGAAAATCCTTTTTGTTAAATAGCTTGAAACCGTTGAAACTGGAACTCGTTTAAGTCTGAAATACAAA